CAAGTGACTTCTTTTCTTCTTATTAGTGCCCAGAACTGTTTTTCATGTTCTCAGTGGAAGCTAGTTATTGCTTCTATTTTTTACCAAATCATTTAGCACAACACCACAAATATGATATCATAGGGATCACTGAAACCTGGTGGGATGCCTCCTATCGCTGGAATGTAGATATCGAGGGGTATAACCTCTTTCACAGAAACCGAACAAAGGGGAGAGGAGGCGGAGTAGCCTTATATGTCAAAAACTCTTATGCTGCAGAAGAGATTCAAGACAGCAATCTGGGAAACCAGCTTGAAATCATCTGGATAAGAATCAAGGGAACTGGGACTCAAAAGATGTCGTTGTAGGCGTCTACTACAGACCCCCAAGCCAGGAGGAAGAACTTGATGAAGTCTTCTGCCAACAGTTGACCAAACAGGCACAGAAAAGAGATGTAGTAGTCATGGGCGATTTCAACTATCCCGATATTTGCTGGAAAACAAACTCGGCCAAGAGTACAAGGTCCAACAAATTCCTCGCTTGCCTTGCAGACAATTTCATGGTCCAGAAGGTAGAAGAGGCAACAAGGGGATTGGCTACTCTTGATCTCATCCTAACAAATGCGGAGGACCTGATCGATGCGGTCGAAGTGGTAGGATCCTTAGGGGCAAGTGACCATGTGCTCTTGCAATTTGAGGTACAAAGGAAGGCCGAAACTAAGACAAGTCAAACCCGCATTTTGGACTTTAGGAGAGCTGATTTCCAAAAAATGAAGGAAACGCTGAGCAGCATTCCGTGGGCACAGATACTAAAAGACAAGGGAGTTACGGATGGATGGGAATTTCTCAAGAGTGAAATACTCAAGGCGCAATTGCAAACCGTGCCAACAAAGAGAAAAAATAGGACAAGTGCAAAGAAGCCAGAATGGATGTCCAAAGAACTTCTAACTGTGCTAAGACACAAAAGAGACATGCACAAGAAGTGGAAAAAGGGAGAAATCACCAAAGAAGAATTCAAACAAATAGCCAACTCCTGTAGGGAAAAGGTTCGCAAGGCTAAAGCACAAAACGAGCTCAGGCTTGCCAGGGACATTAAAAACAATAAAAAGGGCTTCTTTTCTTATGTCAGTAGAAAAAGGAAAAACAAGGAGGCGATAGGCCTCTTCGAGGAGAAGATGGGGCAATGCTGACGGATAGGGAAAAGGCAGAACTACTTAATGCCTTCTTTGCCTCGGTCTTCTCACAAAAAGAGAGTCTTCAACCTCAGCAAGATGGAGTGGATGAGGGATTGGAGGACATCCAACCCAAATTGGGAAAGAAGTCGTCCAGGAATACCTGGCCGCTCTTAACGAGTTCAAGTCCCCAGGGCCAGATCAACTACACCCAGAGTATTGAAGGAACTAGCGGAAGTCATTTCGGAACCATTGGCAACCATCTTTGAGAGTTCTTGGAGAACGGGAGAAGTTCCAGCAGATTGGAGGAGGGCCAATGTGGTCCCAATCTTCAAGAAGGGAAAAAAGGATGACCCAAACAACTACCGTCCGGTCAGCCTCACGTCGATACCGGGCAAGATTCTGGAAAAGACTGTTAAGGAAGCGGTCTGCAAACACTTAGAAACAAATGCAGTCATCGCTAATAGTCAACATGGATTTATCAAAAACAAGTCATGCCAGACTAATCTGATCTCTTTCTTCGATAGAGCTCCAAGCTGGGTAGATGCGGGGAATGCCGTGGATGTAGCGTACCTGGATTTCAGTAAGGCCTTCGACAAGGTCCCCCATGACCTTCTGGCAAGGAAACTAGTCCAATGTGGGCTAGGCAAACTACGGTGAGGTGGATCTGTAATTGGTTAAGTGGACGAACACAGAGAGTGCTCACTAATGCTTCCTCTTCATCTTGGAAAGAAGTGGCAAGTGGAGTGCCGCAGGGTTCCGTCCTGGGCCCGGTCCTGTTCAACATCTTTATTAATGACTTAGATGAAGGGCTAGAAGGCATGATCATGATCATTGAAGCCCCCTCATTGATGGTATTCCGAAGAAGACTGAAGACCTGGATGTTCAAGCAGGCATTTGGTTAAACTCAATGCAATGAATGGTAATTGACTAAAGGACTGGCAATATGGACGACGAGCTGGATCACGTTTTTAGTTAGGAGTTGAACTGGATTGGTATTGATGTATGGTATTGATGTATGAATTGTGTACTATGTTTTTTATGCTTTTATACTGTATACTGTTGATTGTTATATTATGTTGTAAACCGCGTTGAGTCGCCGGCTAGGCTGAGAAACGGCGGTATACAAATATAGCAAATAAATAAATAAATAAATAAATAAATGATCATCAAGTTTGCAGACGACACCAAATTGGGAGGGATAGCCAATAGTCCAGAGGACAGGAGCAGAATTCAAAACGATCTTGACAGATTAGAGAGATGGGCTAAAACTAACAAAATGAAGTTCAACAGTGACAAATGCAAGATACTCCACTTTGGCAGAAAAAATGAAATGCAAAGATACAGAATGGGGGACGCATGGCTCGAGAGCAGTACGTGTGAAAAAGATCTTGGAGTCCTCGTGGACAACAAGTTAAACATGAGCCAACAATGTGATGTGGCGGCAAAAAAAGCCAATGGGATTTTGGCCTGCATCAATAGGAGCATAGTGTCTAGATCTAGGGAAGTAATGCTACCCCTCTATTCTGCTTTGGTTAGACCACATCTGGAATATTGTGTCCAATTCTGGGCACCACAATTCAAGAGAGATATTGACAAGCTGGACTGTGTCCAGAGGAGGGCGACTAAAATGATCAAGGGTCTGGAGAACAAGCCCTATGAGGAGCGGCTTAAGGAGCTGGGCATGTTTAGCCTGAAGAAGAGAAGGCTGAGAGGAGATATGATAGCCATGTATAAATATGTGATAGGAAGCCACAGGGAGGAGGGAGCAAGCTTGTTTTCTGCTTCCTTGGAGACTAGGACGCGGAACAATGGCTTCAAACTAGAGAGGAGATTCCATCTGAACATGAGGAAGAACTTCCTGACTGTGAGAGCCGTTCAGCAGTGGAACTCTCTGCCCCGGAGTGTGGTGGAGGCTCCTTCTTTGGAAGCTTTTAAACAGAGGCTGGATGGCCATCTGTCAGGGGTGATTTGAATGCAATATTCCTGCTTCTTGGCAGGGGGTTGGACTGGATGGCCCATGAGGTCTCTTCCAACTCTTTGATTCTATGATTCTATGATTCTATAGCTCCTTTGTAGCATTGAATCAGAAGCTAAGGCTTCCACGTGGTTCCCCTTCCATAGATTGGACATTCCCTTTCAAGAAGTAGTTTGTGGAGATGAAACAAGCTGCTTCCCTCTATCAAACTTGGCCTGATAACTAATGTGTCATCAGATAGTTTCTTCCCATGAGGTTACAAGGCAAGGTTAGAAGGAGACCATTATGAAGTACAGTCTTTCAAATCCACCACTGAGTTTCCAGAATTCTGTACTTTTGAGGTGGGAAATTGAAAATGGAAGTTAAGCAAGTCTGGCATGTGTGACAACCTATATTAGCTGAAATTCTCTCTTCTGCTTACCAGTTAAAAGGCAAAGAAACACTGTGTGCTTTTGCATCTGGCCACCCTGTTTGCTATAACGAGCTTGAATCATTTCCCCTCTGTTATTTTAATTACATAAGTAGTGCATTCACTAAATGCCCTTTTAAATGTCCCTTGAATTGATAGTGTAACAGTCTGTTGGACTGAAGTAAGCGTCTTAATTACCCAGATTACGTTAATGCCAGAATGTTCGTGTCTGGCACAACCCCATGACTGTGGATGACATACATCTGGAGTCCTCTGGCCCTAGACCAAAAATATCTGGTTTGCATGCCTTCACCACAAGATGGCAGAGTTGTTTGCATTATATCCTGGGAAAGCTTAAAGTTTTCAAAGACAGCGTCCTCTGAAATTTTCTTGAACTGTCACCATACACTTGTATTATGACAAAGCTAATTCAAATCTCTGCATGTTCTTGAAGATCTCAGGGCTTTGACCAGCCTTCACTAGTCTTTTTTGGTGTCTGTTTCAGCTGTGGGGTGTCAGAGGTAATGGGGTGGGGGGATAAGATGGAGTTCGGTAGAGCTGGGAAATTCACCCATTTGCCTATTTTTAATTTATATCCCATCTTTCTCCCAATATGGGACCCAAGACAGCTTACAATCTAACTGTAAACAAAACATATAACACAAAATTTAAAATAAATAAATAAAAGAACAGTCAAATTAAAGCATTAATTTAAAACAATTAAAACCACACTTGCAGTAATATTGCAGCAGACACCATTAAAATCCTTCTGCCCTAGCCAGTTAAGATTATTATGCTTGGGACAGGCTTATGGAGGAGATACGGATAGTCAGAAAGGGACTAAGTCATATAAGTCATAAACAGCACTTTGAAATGGACAATGCAGCTCATGTAGCTGTTTCCAAAAGGCAAATCTAGAGATGATACAGAATGTTGAACATCAGTAATGGAATTAGATCTTGTTCATGCATTGTATGTTAATCACTTTTCATGAATGTGATAATACAGAGTTGAGAGAGTTGTATTACAGGTGTTATAGGATATAGACTATAAAATTAGTCTAAACAAAATTGGACCCATAGAGCCGGTATTGTGTACTAGCCAAGAGTATCCTCAAACCCAAGAAACTTGTGTTCAAATCCTTGTCATCTGTAAAATGCCTACTTGGTCTGGGTCTTGGGAACTTTGCTTCATTTCCCAGTTTATAAAATGGGAATTTTGATGTGTCTCACAGATGTGAATGCAGCAAATGTGGACATTTGCAAATCATATGTTCATTTGACAAATTGTGTGAAATCCGAATTGTGTGTCATCGTCTTGTGAAGCAGACTTTCTCCTACAGTAGAGCAGGGATCCTGATTAAAATGTTAATTATTAATCAAAAGGTTTACATAAACAGCTGGGCTAGCGGAAGTGAAGGAAAGGAAAAAGACTTAAACTTCCTTCTCCCTTTCATTTTCTAGATGCTACAAGATTGTCCGAAAGCACGCAGAGAGGTGGAGCTCCACTGGAGGGCATCTCAGTGTGCACATATCGTGAAGATTATAGATGTCTATGAAAACCTTTACCAGGGTCGAAAATGTCTTCTCATAGTCATGGAATGGTGAGTATTGTGGATTCTGGGATGAAGCAAACAGTGCAGCTTACCCTACTTGTGCACTACAGCTTAAAACCTTGGAGTCCCTCAGACTTCAAAATAGCAGGGGATTTGTTGGTGACTTTGTCCAGTACTCATCCACTTACCTTGATTCCCTGCACAAGAAATCCATTACTTCCATTACCATGCTTTCAAACTATCAATACATTTCTTTCTCCTTAAAAACAATCCTATGTAAGCCCATATGTCATTCTATGACTCATCAGAATCCTTATAAAAATCCAGAATGTTTGACCTATTTCTTCATGGAAGTATAACCATATCAAGTGGTAGTTTACAGAATTAAATTCTAGATTTTAATGATAATGTCATTTTAAATAGTTTTATTACTTCTGCTTAATTTTGGGGGTGGTGGGAGTATTTTGTGCAATTTATTAATTGTGCACTGGAGCCCCTGGTAGTGCAGTGGGTTAAAGCGCTGAGTTGCTGAACTTGCTGACTGAAAGGTCTCAGGTTCAAAACTGGGGAGCGGGGTGAGCTTCTGCTGTTAGCCCCAGCTTCTGCCAACATAGTAGTTTGAAAACATGCAAATGTGAATAGATCAATAGGTACCGCTCCAGCGGGAAGGTAACAGTGCTTCACACAGTCATGGAGCCACATGACCTTGGAGGTGTCTACAGACAACTCCAGATCTTCAGCTTAGAAATGGAGATGAGCACCAATCCCCAGAGTTGGAAATGACTGGATTTAATGACTGGACTTAATGACTGGACTTAATGTCAGGGGAAACCCTTTACCTAACCTATTATTTATTTTATTTTATTAAAATGTGTATGCTACACTTTTTGAAGAAGTATATACAAAGTAGCTTAGAAAACATTTGAAATGCAGTCAGTTTTGAAAACATGACAACCACTCTTTCTAACATAGTTCAATAGGCCATGACCCATCCCTTCATGTGATCGTTTGGTCTTAACAGTGAGCCATAGATAAATCATTTGTCTTTCACTTATCTTAATGATCAGAAAAGTACATCCGGAAAGAAGTACTTCCTTAAGGATAGAGATCCAAACTAATTTAGAATTTTGAAAAGCATTACTGGCATTTTGCAGTTGGACTGGTGGCTTAATTAAGTTGCTGTCTGTTATTTTAACTGCACAGGTCTGTCTCATTTTCCATTGTGACAAAGAGAGATTCTGGGTTGTTAGATGTGATAATTTCTATCCACAAGACCACTATCATATTAGGATTCATTTTTTTACTGTCATTGAGCCATCTAAACCCCAATCCAGCAGCTCAGCAACCTCGCCCAACTCTAATGACAAAAGTAAAGAGTTGGCTGTGATTAGCACACTTCTGACATCCAGATCATCTACCCAGTGGTTCTCATGTACATGCAAATGGCATGAAATAGAATTATGAACCCATAGCCAATTGATTGAATTCCTCCAGTGTTACTGCATGTAACTGTCTTTCAGAAAGAAGCAGAATCACAATGGACACTGTATCTCTTACCTCTGCCTCACAGAGTTAGTTCAGTTATTATGCTTGATACCATGATAGGCACTAGGTTTAATGCAATTAGTCTGTCACATTGTTGATAGCTTCTCTTTGAGTTGACAGTGAGTCCACTCTGGAAGATGTCTATAGGGTCCTCCTGCTGAGAAGGCCTTGTCTTATGTAAGAGTCAAAATTCAGGCTTTTGAATTTTAGCACCATCTCTTTTGCCTCCTTTATGATTTTTAACATATTTTCCTTCAAAATTTCACATGATATCCTCATAAAGGTATCACTGTTTTGAGGACACTGGATTTTGTTGTATTTTGTGGTGTGGACAACAAGGCTAATGAATTTGAAATCAAATTACAGGTTTATTTATTTATTTATTTGCTTTATTTTTATACCGCATTTTTCAGCCTAATTCGGCGACTCAATGCGGTTAATTTGAAATCAGATTACAGGTGGTTGGTTACTTCTTCATTGCTGTTCCAATCTTTCACTTATATCTATTGAAGAACCTTAGTGTTTGTCCCTGCCGTTGCTTGGTTGGAGGAGTGCTGAGCATATTTTCAGTCCTGTGGTTAATTTTACTTGAACTTTGGACATCCCAATGATGTGGTAGTCACAGTCATATTAAGATATGTGCTGATGGTGTTCACCATGACGCTCCCTCTTCAGACAGTCTGAACCCCAAGAGGTTAGATATGATACAAAGCCCAAAAAGAAGTCAAAACTTGAGGCCTGAGAATAAAAATGTTTTGTGGTTTGCTGCGTCAGTAACATTTATTGTAACCGTACTTTTCTTTTTTACTTCTAGTTTGGATGGTGGTGAACTCTTCAGTCGAATTCAAGACAGAGGAGACCAAGCTTTCACAGAAAGAGGTATGAAGGGATACCACATAGGTCTTAAAATATAACAAGAATTTGCTGTATGAATGGTTTTGTTTCATTGCCTGTGGAACTGAGTCTGAAGACTGTATTGTAAGACTTTTGGCAAAAAGACTATGTTTTAAGAGGAGAAACAGGTAATAACTCAGTTCATGTTTCACCCAGTGTGACATGATTTAGAGGAGGTGTGGACAGACTTCAGATTTGTTGGATCAACATTGTTTTGTTTTTGTTTTTTTAAGTAACCCCTAGATCCATAAAAAGTGCTAGGTAAGAAATGGTAACTTAGGAATAGATTTGGATGTAATAAGTTGGTGCAGGACCCCGAATCTAATTATCTGCTGTACCCCATAACCATAAAAGAATAGGTGTAAGGACAATCACTTCAATGTATTAAATTACACCCACACACACACACACACACACACACAAACACACACACAGATTACATCCTTCAGTATTAAAAGACACAAAAATACAAACACAAATCTACATCACAGTTGCTACAGAACAACAAGCTGCCTTCGAAGGGAGAGGGTTGTTTCGCTCTTGTCATACAACCTTTGCATGGCTGCTTAGGGATATTTAGCGAGATCTTGATCTATCTTCTGCCTACCTCTGACTGAAACGAATGCAGAAGACCCACAAACAGTTTAGATTCATCTTAGCCGAATCTTCTAGTGTTGTCTGAATTGCCAGCTTTTAGCGAAGTCTTTTCCTTGCCAGCTTTTAGCTGAATTGCCAGCTTTTAGCGAAGTCTTGAAAATGAATCCCAACACACTGGAGGGGCATTTCAGTTATTTACTGATTCTGGGCAAGTACTTTACATATTGTTTGCTAGTTTTGGAGGATAGCAATGTGTGAATAGCACTAAATCAAAATGAAGATGATGTGTAGAGACACATAACCTGTAGAGCTTGGAAATGTTAACTTTTTTGGGAAAGTTCCCAATAATGGCGACTAATATGACAATGGCAAGTGGATTCTGAATCTGTGGTCCATACACGTAGCTTTTTCAAACTCTGTATCTTAATCAGTTGTATAGAACATGGCTTTATATTCACTTCAATTCCAGTGGTAGCTAACAGTGTGGAACAAAGAAGAAAATATACTGTGTGTTTATGTCAAGAGAAAGTATATTTTGTTTAGCTGTTGAAGAGACATTACAAGAAACACAGAGCTGCCACTGAAAATGGAAGTCCCGTGTAATATTCCTTTTCCCCCTTTCCATTACATGAGACTTGCACTTTCAGTAGCAGGTCCACGTTTCTTGTAATATTTTCTTCTGCTCTGAAATGTGCTCAATCAATGTTGTGACTTTGCTGTTGTCATTTTCTTGTGTGTGCTAGCCCTTTCCTGTTTAATTACATAGAATTTTTTCTTTTCTTTTTTAAACAGAGGCTTCTGAAATAATGAAGAGCATTGGAGAAGCCATTCAGTATTTACATTCAATCAATATCGCACATCGAGATGTTAAGGTACTATTGGCAATAGATGTGAGCAAAGCCTGCATTGTAACCATATTTTAGCACAGCAATTATGCATCTGGGGAGAACTCTAGATGGTTTACATCATATAGTTCCTTTTTAAATTAGAACTGGACCTTGGGATATGCTTATTTGCAAGATCATGTTGTTTTCTCCGTCATAGTTGAAGAGATTCCCAAGTGTCAAAAGCAAGGTTTTTAGAGAAGGTGACTTCCTTGTAGAGTGGGAAGACTCTGCAACAATTAAATTATGGCAAGGATAATGCACTGCTCCCAAGGCAGCATAATCGACTTGGCAAGCTTCCTTTTCTTTGCTTGTTACATAATTGCACATCTCCTACCGGTAGTTTAATTCCATTCCTTATTTGGTCTGCAGCCAGGCATGCACCCTCTCCTACGTTAAAAGTCCTCATCAGGAAAACAAGTTCTTGTTTGTTCAAAGGATGTGAAATTGGATTAGGAACATAGGCTCAATTGTTGTGTTCCTATTATAAACATGTGAGCGCATATTAAAATAATATATAAAGTGGTGTGTATGTGCACAGGACAGAATTTCCCAAGTGATATGAGTTATATTTTGCTGTCTTTCTGTTCTGAATACAAAGCTATTGTTTTCAGCTGAGCTATCTATCTATCATCATTAGCTTTATTTATATCCCAACTTTCTCCTCATGGGGACTCAAGTCTGCTAGCATCTATCCACACTAAATAGTTTAAAAAGAGCAATACAAAAGTTTAAAAAATAACCATGTGGTAAAAACAATTAAAATACAGCAAATACGTTAAAATGGCAATTAAAACTCATATCTGCCCAATCCCACCCATGCTCCCCACAACCTCCCTTTACCCTCCCCTTATCTAGACTTGTAACAGTAAATATCAAATGAATATTTGGTTATCTCCTATGAACATCTCTTTCTTTTGCTTATATTATTAATATTGAAGTAGAAAGGCACTAATAATCATAATAATCATAATAATAAACTTTATTTGTACCCCGCCACCATCTCCCAAAGGGGACTTGGGACGGCTAACATGAGGCCAAGCCCAAAAATTACAGTACAGCAAAATAAAGTACAAAGAAGCAAAAATAGCATCAAAATAAAATACATGAAATAACAAAATAAAATAAACAGTTACTAAATAACCTGACAGAGAAATAGGACACAATGGGCGGGCCAAATGCACAGGATAACATTGATAAAACCCTGGATGAGATAAGTAGTGGGAGAATGTGTTTCTGAGAGAGGAGCTTATAAGGGGTGAACAATAGGGTTAGACCTTCATTGAGGGCGGGGGGAAAGTGCATCATGACGATGAAACTGTAGTTGAAACAGACAAAATATGGAATATATTTTCACTCACCAAGGGCACATTGGAAGAGCCTAGTTTTTAGGTCTTTCTTAAAAGCTGCCAGGGTAGGGGCTTGCCTAATCTCACTAGATAGCAAGTTCCAAAACCGAGGGGCCACAGCAGTAAAGGCGCTCTCCCTTGTCCCTACAAGTCGTAGTTGTGATAAAGGTGGGGGTGAAAGGAGGGCCTCCTCAAAGGATCGAAGCGATCGTATAGGTTTATGGTAGGAGATGCAGCAAACATTTAGTAGTATATATGTAAAGGATGTGTGTTTATGTTTTATTGTGTTTTTCTCTACCCTCTTTGTCTTCTGACCACAAGCAGCTCATAGATTAAGGGGAAAGGGACCTCTTCACCCAATATTGCATCGACGTCTCAAACCCACTTAGTCCACAGGCTGCCATTGTTTCTGCTTTCACTATCTCATATGAACAGCCATTTATGTTGTCATTTATATGCAGAGATGCCTATTTATTTATGCATGTTGGGATATATCCATATTCTTTAAGAGCAGAAAAACATATCATTAACATGCCAGATGCATACAGATATTGTACACACAATCTAACAGTTGATTATGTCTGCTCCTTTCTCTATTGAACCCTTATCCAGGAAAACCTCACAGTCCCACATGTCCCTACGCTTTGCATGTATTTTTTTAAAAAGAAAACAAGTGAAAAAGGTCTTATAAAATAAAACTCCCAGCAAAATAGGGCCATCAATAACAGAGCAAACACATTTGATAAATAAAATATTCAAAAGTGAATCTGGGTATAAGGAAGCAGAGTACCATCAGAATACTACACCTAAAGAATTTATCAATAACGAATAATACAGAAAAAGAGGGAATATATACATAGAGCGTGCCAATACATATATACAAAGAAAGAATGGAAATCTAATGATGAACTATACCAGGAATTGATATATGAACAAACATTTAACAACAAGAACTTGATTAGAGCACAGTCAGTAGAAAACAATGATAGAGGCAATTTAGGAAAAACACGTTTTTTTCTGCACACATACTCCCATGAAGTACAGCCAATTTAGCTCCTATTGTGATCAAAACAGATAGTAAGGACACTATGTGATTACAGGTGAGGGAAGCCTGCTGTGATCCCAAGGAAGGAAATAACTTAGTTTGAGTTAATCCTGTGTCAGTACTTGCGGGGAAGAAATTGTTTTCTCTTGTTACCATTGTGCCAATGTTATGCCATCTAGAAGCACTGGGTTCAGACCTTCAGTTTGATGCTGACCTTAACTTGGGTGTCACCAGATGTACAGTTCTGTCAGTTAATATAATACAATGTCCCTGTTTCGTTGGATGAATGTATGTTTTTTGTAGCTTCAGAATATGGGCAATGTGCTTATTGGGGTGTGGTCTAGCAACTACTTATTTATTTATTTAGAACTTTTATATACCGGTCTTCTCAACCTCCACAGAGGGACTCAGGCTGGTTCACAACAAAAATTCACAAAGAGTAGTTTAAAATACCACACCACATAATGCACTAATACATAAAATACATTAAAATACAATAATATAATTACATAAGGCCAAGTTATCAGAATAAAATCACAATTCATCACCAACTATGTCCTTGCCTTCTTGATATATCACCCTTCATCGACATGGGATTCTCCAGGTGTTGGCCATGTTGGCTGGATATGATGAGAATTGACTCAAACACAAGTAAAGGACACCAGTTTGGAGGTATATGACACTGAACAAGAAGGAAAAGACTAGCTGAGCCTGGGAGGTTATTATAAGTGTCTCTCTCTGAGTGGGATCTTCTGAGATCCAATACTCTTTTCAATTGTGGCACCAGTTTGTGGAACAAGCCCGCAGGAGGATTATCTGGCATTACTTTCATCTTTTCAGTGCTTTGCATTTCTCCAGACCATTTAAAATTATTTTGGTTTGTTTCTACTCACTGTGTATTAGTCTACATTATTCCTGCTATCTTTCATGGTTTTTTGTTTTGTTTTACTTCTTTCCAAGTAGTTTTAAGTCTACCCTAGGGTATGCAGTGCAGTGGTAAATGTGAGAACAAATTAATGAATCCATGATTGACATATTTTTGAGATGTACATATTCATAGTAAATTGTCTCGTGTGGAGGCCTTTGCAAAGTGGTGAAGAAAGAAACATTCTGTTAAGCTGATATTTCTGATTGTCTCTTGCAGCCAGAAAACCTCCTATATACTTCAAAAAGACCGAATGCTGTATTAAAACTAACAGACTTTGGATTTGCCAAAGAAACCACCACACATAACTCCTTAGCTACGCCATGCTACACACCATACTACGTAGGTAAGTAAATCACTTGAGAAAATTGTGTCTCTCAGTTTCTGAGACAAGACACTTATAAGCTTCCATCGGCTTCTTTCTTAGTGATAGATAACTGATTCTGTGTTTGAGTGTCTCAGTGAGCTAGTGTGGTTTTTGAATCGCCACATGTGATAGCATTGAAAATACCATATGGATTACAATATGAGACTGCAGTATGCATTTTCCTCCCCTCTTTAGCTCCAGAAGTATTAGGCCCAGAGAAATACGACAAGTCCTGTGACATGTGGTCCCTTGGTGTCATCATGTATATTTTGTAAGTAAGATGCTTATTTTTTGGTGTACTTCTTGGCATGATATCTTGATTGTATCTACTACTACTCTATGTTCTCATAGCAGGTTGAAGTTGCAGAACATAAGTAGGGTAAGGGGAGGCTCTGGGGAGGGTGGGTGGGATGGGGGAGATATGAGCTTTAAAGGCCATTTTAATATATTTTCTGCATTTTAATTCTGTTTTTACCACACTGTTATTATTTAATTATTTTTTAACTTTTGTATTGGTTTTTTTTTGCACTGTTTAGTGTGGATAGATGTTAGCCACCTTGAGTCCCCATGGTCTCAAATAAATAAAGATAATATTAAAAATAATAATCTTTAGAGTTAGATTCTCACATCTCAGCTACAGTTTCTCGTGTCTTAAGTTTCCCACATCTCAGTTCATATACTTTTTTCTCCTTTTTGCTTAATTTTCCAGAATGCCAACTTTGCTGCCATATCCTAGCCATTTTGCACTCTGTTACTGATGCAACATTGACCCTCAGCCTCTTGGCCAGGAACCCCTTAATACAGTTACAAGTACAATATGTTATCTAACTGGCATTTGCAATACAAGAAAGCAAAATGGATAGTTACCCCCCCTCCCTCCCAACAGATGTACCTCAGATCTGAATTCTCCTCTGCATGTCCTCTGACTGTTTTTCTTTTTTGTGCAGGCTGTGTGGTTATCCCCCCTTCTACTCCAACCATGGTCTGGCCATTTCTCCAGGCATGAAGAAACGAATCCGAATGGGTCAATATGAATTCCCAAACCCGGAGTGGTCTGAAGTATCAGAGGAAGGTAAACATGTTCTTTTCTGGGAAGAGTGGAGGCAAAATAAATTTAACAGGATGTTCCTAAAACTACCTATGTAGTGAGAATGAACATATGCAATCAACAATTGAGCACTTCAAATTACATTTTTAGGAGGATGGGTATTGGGAGGTGAGGCACAAATGCAGCTTGCTACAATCCAGGGGAAATGGCTCTCAGACACTACCATACAAAATGTGAATAACAATGCTAATTAGGATTACATTCTTAAATTATCGGTTAACCTATGCAATCTGTCGCTTTTCCAAGCTTCTCCATTGTGAGGAAAAGAGGAAGGGAAACAAGGGATTGCAGAAAAAAACAGAAGAAAGAAAAGTGTCCCATTCACAACTGACCTCAGAACTGCCCATTTCTGGGATGTGCTCCTTATTAAATTTACCTCTTAGAAAAAGAGGCCAATAGACAAAGGAAAAAAGTTACACATCCTTGCTATGCATACCAACAGGAGATCTAGTCCCTTTAAATGTAGTGAAAATTACTCCCTGTAAAATACAAGGCTGTGTCACATGAAGAAAAGTAAAAAAAGAAGCTTAGGAGAAGCTCTTTAATAGTTAAGAGAGATTGGATGTGTAAACTTTCATTACATAGGTATTGTCACACAGAGCAAAATAACTTTTATTTATTTATTTATTTATTTACTTCATTTGTTGACCGCCGCTCTCAGCCCTAGGGCGACTCACGGCGGTGTACAACATATAAAAGCAATTACAAAAGGCAAGAACAACAATAACAAATACAAGCTAATACAATTACAACTAAATGGTCCGCTTCGTCTCATCTTAGAATCATAGCCAAGTCCATAGTCCGTATTCCGTTCCCGTCGTCAGTTACCGATTAATGCACTTAATTAAATGCCTTCTCGAAAAGCCATGTCTTCAAGCCCTTTCGGAAGGACATCAGGGAGGGCGCCTGTCTGATGTCAGCAGGGAGGGTGTTCCACAGCCGGGGGGCCACCACCAAGAAGGCCCTCTCTCTCGTCCCCGCCAGACGTGCCTGTGAGGCAGGCGGGATCGAGAGAAGGGCCTCCCCAGATGATCTCAAGGTCCTCGTGGGCTCATAGGCCGAGATGCGGTCCGAAAGGTATTTTGGGCCGGAACCGTTTAGGGCTTTGTAGGATAACACCAGCACCTTAAATTGGGCCCGGTAGCAGATCGGCAGCCAGTGGAGCTGAGACAACAAGGGCGTTGTGTGCTCCCTGCGTCCCGCTCCAGTTAGTAACATGGCTGCCGCGCGCTGGACTAGCTGAAGCTTCCGGGCCGTCTTCAAGGGCAGCCCCACGTAGAGAGCGTTGCAGTAGTCAAGGCGGGATGTGACCAGAGCGTGTACCACCGTGGCCAAGTCGGCTTTCCCAAGGTACGGGCGCAGCTGGCGCACAAGCCTAAGCTGTGCAAAGGCTCCCCTGGTCACCGCTGAAACCTGGGGATCCAGGCTCAATGATGAATCCAGGGTCACCCCCAAGCTGCGAACCTGCGCCTTCAAGGGGAGTGCGACCCCGTCCAGCACAGGCTGTAACCCTATACCCTGTTCGGCCTTTTGCTTTTGATGGAGTGGGGTCAGAAGATTAATCTGCTCTTAAAAAGGAGAAAAATAATAACAAAATTGTAAAAATACCTCGTTTGAAGTGGGACCTGAAAACAGAGGAAGCCAATAAGCAAAAAAAAATCCCCAGGAAGAAAGTGGTATCATTACAAAGAGATAAATGGGAAGAATGTGGCATGTACGTAATGCAAAAACATGGTAGCCTAGGAGACTGTAAAAATGAATCAAAATGATTCATTGCACTAGAGAGATAGCAAGCAACTTAATATGACATATACAGTATTTCCAGTGTATGACTGTTCCTGGAGAGAGGATGGTGAATGGGAGAAGGAGGAGAGGGGGAAAATAGTGGAAAAGGGATGGATACAAGTAGGGAATTAGGGTGATTACATCTGAATTTTAAAAATCTCTTTTTTTGTTAAATTGTTAAAATGTATGTACTGTAAAAGTCGCCTATGTTATCTTCTAAAAATTTTCATGAGGAAAAGTGGTTAATATTATACTCTACTTCAGTGGTTCTCAACCTGTGGGTCCCCAGGTGTTTTGGCCTACAACTTCCAGACATCCCAGCCAGTTTACCAGCTGTTAGGGTTTCTGGGAGTTGAAGGCCAAAACATCTGGGGACCCACAGGTTGAGAACCACTGCTCTACTTGTTTCTCCCAAATAAAAAAAAATACAAGATTTCCAGCAAGAGGAGTGATGGTGGGGGGATCCCGGATTTGCTTGGTTTCCCATTCTCATATGTATAGGCAAAGTAACTCTGATTTACCTGATCTGATGTCACCGCCAGACCTTCTCACACATAAATATCTATTGTTTTAAAAAAAAATACTTGGATGTAAGATGCAGGGCAGGTCCCCATTATAAAAAGTGGCTTATGTGTGTTTTCTATACTACTTCAGGTAGATCCATTCTCCTGTGTAAGTGATACCACTTCTTTTGGGATTTCTCCTAATTTTGAAGAATTATTGTAATTTTGGGATGTGGTGTGCAGGGACAGAAAGTAATGTTTAATGCTGCTATTTCCTTCCACTTTCAGTCAAACAGCTGATTAGAAATTTACTGAAAACGGATCCAACACAGCGAATGACTATAACAGAGTTCATGAATCACCCTTGGATCATGGTAAGAATCCAGTTATTGTTTCAGGCAAGAAAAAAAGTAACTCTTCAAAACAGATGCAGGTGTCTAAGGTGAGAAACAGACGATCTAAAGCATCTTCATATAGCGGCTAACTTCCAAATTATTTTTCCTCTGCAGCAGTCAATGCAGGTGCCACAGACACCGCTGCACACTAGTAGAGTTTTGAAAGAAGAGAAAGACCTATGGGAGGATGTCAAGGTGAGTTGTCTCCCTGGTTTAGCTCACATATTTCCATCTGATTCTTCCTTGGCAAATATTTGGTTCTGATCATTGTTCAGGAGAGGATGAAAAGGCTATCTAGTCAATATGAAATGTAGACTAATTCTTGTCTTGATGATTCCTAATTTGGAAACAGGAAAAATGGGATTTGGGCAGTGGTTTGGGGAAGTAGCCAATGGTAGTTTAGTATTTCTTATTATTCTGTGTGGATGTATACTTAAATGATTTCATGTGTGAACTGAACTGTTTTATAGGATTTTCAATATTTCATTATATGAGTTTGCTGAAAGTTTAGCCTGAATTATGTTGATAGTTCCAACTAGAGTAGAATCATTGAACTAGAGTAGAATCATTTAGATACATGCTGACTTTCCAACTTCCAGAAATCCCAGCCAGTTTACCAGCTGTTAGGGTTTCTGCGAGTTGAAAGCCAAAACATCTGGGGACCCACAGGTTGAAGAACCACTGCTCTACTTGTTTGTCCCAAATAAAAAAAAATACAGGATTTCCCTCTGGAAGTTGGAAAGTCAGCATGTATCTAAATGCCTTTTATCCAATGGGTCTAATTCAGTGAAATTAACAGTTGGACTCCGCACTCATCTCCACTGCAACTTGGAAGTTAGTTCTGTGTCACTAATAAGATGTCTTCCTCTCTACTGCACTTTTAGGAAGAGATGACAAGTGCCTTGGCCACCATGAGAGTGGATTATGAACAAATCAAGATTAAGAAAATTGAAGACTCATCTAATCCATTGCTTATGAAGAGGCGGAAGAAAGCCACTGCCCCTGAACCTACAGCACTCCCTCACTGAGGGCTCAGTAGAGCCAATCCCAATGGTTGTGAAAGCAATAACTATATCTATATATTTTTAAAACAAATCAGAGATAAGACTGTCATATCAAGCGCATGGAATTCAGATCTTTATACCAGACTAGTTATTTTTTTAGCTGCCCCTCGTGATTCTGGCCTATCTAGGGCCAGGCAGGAGACAGCTGCACTCTGTACAATACATAATACTATTATATTTTTATTTTTGTCCTGTAGGGGAAAGTATTTTCAGTAATTGGGTTTTTATTGGTTAAAATCTCCTGCTTTTCTCTCCCCCCCCCCCCCCCCGAGACACTGAAATTCCTGTGATCAGCATATTTAAGGGGAAATATATACACATACATACATATATACATATGTATATGTATAGATCTCACTACTGTAGAGCTGAACTCCAGACAGTCAGAGTCCTGTGCTAAGTACTGTGTCGTTTTTAACAGTTAAAGGCTATCAGTTTGCATCAAAAGAAGAATCAAGGCTGTTGAAGAAATGCCACCTGAATCAAAGGCATTGTTGATACTGTGGTCTTCATTAAACACCAGTAACCATTCCTTTGCAGTTGGACCTAAAGTACGGTTTACAGGTCCTAGGAGATACTCAATTGTCCCATGTGCAAGATACCTCTTTAAACTGGAAGCCCCCCCCCCCCAAATGTCTTTCTCCTTTCTCACTCCTGGTCTTCTTCTTTCTCCACCTCCCTCCCTCCATTTCTTTGGGTATGCACAGGATTATTTTCCCCTTAATTGTGAGTTTGTGGATAGTATGTAACAATGTGCTAGGATATGTATTAAATGTCTATAAGTATAGACAGGAAGGCCCCACCCCACTTTTGTATTCTTGAATTTTTGAGGGGCAGCTGTCGAATCTATAATGCACCCAGAATTCAATTATTATCTCAGGGTTATTTGGGTGAGTGGGGCGGAAAGCTGTTGCGTGATGGTTGATTGTTCTGTTTCACTAGCTGAGATGACCTTCCCAAAGCACTATGCCAGCATATATCCTGTTGCCTAGTTTCCATCACCATCTCATTCAACATAAAAGCCTACATTTTGGTGCAATTTAAAAATCCTGAAGTCAGTTGGCAGGCTCATATCCTCTCCAACAATGAATCTTTTTCTACTGGCTGCTGTTTTAAGGAACAATAATGGAACAGCCACTTATCTTTACCAAGAATCCACAACTCATTGGAATGCTCAACAAAGTCTGAAATCAGAGTTCTCCATCCCATTGCACAATAGCCTGAAGTTTGGGTGGGTACAATTTGTCATCTCCCCACTTTAATGGAGTACCTTAAAAATAGGGCTCTGTTGGGTGGACTTCTTGATGTCTTTGGGTGTTAACTTGACAACATAACAGAACTGCTAATAATATGGTAAGAAGTCCTACTCATGAAACCAAAAGACTTCGCTGGAATTTGAAGGAGACAAGATAGAACCTGTATGGGCTATAGGCTTCCTCCGTTGTTCTAGTTTCTGCTAGGAGACAGCTGCCTGAAGTCAAGCCCTCTTAAGGCTTAGTATAAGTACTTTTGGTTAAGTACTTTCTACAAGAAAAAGGTAAAAGGTACCTTAACATAAAATATTGCCTCGCTCTGTTGGTGGTCAATTCACTTGTCTGACTCTTTTGATATATTTTTAGTCCATGAATGAATATCGTTTGCCATGTTTGTTTCACTGGCATTTTAATGTTTTTAAAAAAATCCACACTTTCTTTTCTTTTCTTTTTTTAAAAGAAAGGTCTAGCTTTTAGGTGACATTTTAGACACTGTATGGAATTTTCATTTGTAAAAAAAGTTTCATTATTTTTTTTTTGGTTGGTGTCTCATGCTGAAACAAATTCTTTGATTTGCGTTCTCCATTCTGGATTAAAGACACCTAATACAACAGAGTCTACTTTTGTGTGATCCATTATAATGAAAGCATGGTGTTTTGGCTTACCATCAGTCAGTTAGAAGAAGAAGGCTTTCATGGAACAAAAGGTGGTGATACCTGGAGCAGAAGAGTCCCATCAAAATCCTTTTCAGTTTTTAAACATTTTAATACAGTTCAATTTTTCGCAAATAATGGATTTCAAAATACAGTTACTCATGATGCATGCAAATAGATTATTCAAAGATGTAGCATTTTTAGCTGTAGCTTGTGTTGAAATAGGATGGAAGCAGAATTGCATTAGAGAATCACACTATTAGCATCCCTTTCCTACCTACCCATGCAAATTATGATGTAACTACTTTTCTTTGCACAAAATCCTGTTTGTGCCAGTCCCCAGACTTCACTGAATCTTGAACAGATGAAGTGAGGAATCCCAAGTGGGAGATCCTTCCTGTGCAGCTCTAGATAAGGGAAAGAATGCTTGGAGATATGCTATATTTGATATCCCCTTCACAATCATTTTATCATCAGCAGCAACAACAGTAACAACAATAATTTATTATGTCATTTCATTCTTCTAGTTAGCAGACCAGGAACAGCATATAGAACAGTATTAAATCATGTAGTATAACTAGAAATGTACAACTGACAACCAATTCCTATAAGAAGCAAAAAACAAATGTTGCTTAAAGATAAAGCATTGTAACCCTGCAACAGGAAAATTAGATTTTGTTTCAATATCATAAACATCTGGAAAAGAGAAATCAGAAGAGAGCCTAATGGATTCCATTTGGGAAAATATTTCATAGTCAAGGGGAATCACAAAAAATAATCCATCTTTCATGTTCACTCCTGAAAAAGTCTGAGTAAGAGTAAGAGCAAATATTTTAATTATTATATTTATATTCCAGAGATTGCTATATGGGAGCTACCAGTGCCTGCCTAATGAACTTTGATCCTTAAGATGTTTTGATTTTAAAACGGATTTATTTTCTTTGGCTAAAGGGTTACAAACTTTCCCTAAAATGAGCATGACTGCTCACTTTCCCCTGCAATGAAGTTATGTTCTGTTGGCTGGTTTCCAGAATGGCAGCTATATCCCCATGACTAGTAGTGAAAAAAGGCGCATTTGGTAAAGGCAGACTGTGGGCCTCAAAGTTCTTACAACCTCACTTCTTAGGTTTCTATTTTCTTCTCATCAGTGAGGTGAAATAACAGCTTCAGTGGTGATGGTTTTCACATTCAGTACTTCCCAGTAGCCCTTGAGCTCCATAATGTGTGCCAGGAATAAATATGACTGTGCTCATGTGCATTTGTAGTCCCTCTGGTAGCGGTAATTGTGATCCTCAGGACAGGAAAGGTTGCAATAAGCTGAGTGACATAAATCCTGGAAGCAAGAAAGCAATGGAATTGAAAACATAATTTTGTCCCAACATGGAGTTGTTTTGCAAAAATCTTAACTGCATTTTGAACCAATTGATGGTTCTAGTCTAGACATGGGCAAACTTCGGACCACCAGGTGTTTTGGATTTCAACTCCCACAATTCCAAATGATTGCAAGCATTTCTAAAATGGAGTGTGCTGATAAATCATAGAATCAGAGAATATTAGGAGTTGGAAAAGACTATGTGAGCCATCTAGTCCAATCCCCTGCCAAGCAGAAAAACACAAAGCACCCCCAAGAGATGGCCATCCAGCCTCTGTTTAAAAGCCTGCAAGGAAGCAGCTTCCACCACCAAGGCAGTGAGTTCCACTGCGGAACACCTCTTACAGTCGGGAAGTTCTTGCTAATGTTCAGGTGGAATCTTCTTTCCTATTATTTGAACCCATTGCTTCAAGTTCTAGTCTCCAGGGCAGCGGAAAACAAACCTGCTCCCGCTTCCTTGTGGCATCCTTTCATATAGTTATACATGACTGTCATGTCTCCTCTCAACCTTCTCTTCTGCAGGCTAAACATCCCCAGCTCTTTATTTCACTCCTCATAGAGTATGGTCTTTCATCATTTTGTCACTCTTCTCTGGACACCTTCCATCTTGTCAATGGTCCCTGCTACACTGCCATATAATGCAGTTCAAAGCAGATAATTTGGATTTTATATGGCAATGTAGAAGGGACCTATATCTCTTTTAAATTGTGGTGCCCAGAATTGGACACAATATTCCAGGTGAGGTCTAACCAAAGCGGAATAGAGGGGCACCATGACCTCGCTTTATCTAGACACTATACAGTGATATCTTGACTTAAGTATTTAATTCGTTCAGTGACTGTCAAAACATTCTTAGCTCAATGCGAATTTTCCCATTGAAATGCTATTAATCCATTCCGGCCTCCCAAAAACCATCCCATTTTTGTTAGGCGTTTTTAAATAAAAAAAATAGATTTTACAAATAATATCCAGCCATTGTAGCAAGGAAGCATATTTGAGGCAACAAAATGTGTTGGCCTGTGTAATAGCAAGGCAAAACCACCATTATCTTCATACTGTAATTCCAGCCTCCCTCCTTCTCTTGCTGTCTGTCTCCCTCTCTGCCTTCTTGAAGCCAAACATACAGTACTCCTGTTTAGGCTGAGGTTCTGCTGCACTAAAGTGAACTGCAATTTGGAGTGGAATCTCACCGGATTGGGCTCCTCCCAGAACGTTCAGGGGAAGCAATCACATGGAGCTGGAGTTTCTGCCTATCGGGAAGAGCCAGAGTTGTTCCGGCTAGGAATCCAGTCCAAGTTTTGTTTCTCTCTGTCTTGCTGTTAGAACTGGTTTAGGGGGCAAATCCCAAATGGATGCCCCCCCCCCCCATGAGGGTCTGCCTCCAGGGGCAAACCAAGAATGGGCATCTTGGAAGTCTGAACAGACTCAAAAGTGGAGTGGACAGATCAAAAGACAACCTGGCAAAAATTGTACTACTTAAAAGAATCTTCCACCCTGTGCAACTGTGGAGCAGAACAAACTACTCCACATCTAGGTTGTTTTTTGGGCTGTGTGGCTATATTCCAGAAGCATTCTCTCCTGGCATCTATAGCAGGCATCTTCAGAGGTTGTGAAGTTTTAATTTGCAAAAATATCAGTCATAAAAAGTGGCAATGGCAAACCTCTTCTGAATAAATCTTGCCAAGAAAACACTTCAATTGACTTGAACTCCACATCTGTATGCCTGTCCATAGTGTCCTACCTCATGCACAGAGGAGAATTGTTTAAAGATACAGACAGTGCAGTCGCTGTTGCCCGTTTTTGGTCTAAAATTATTTAGCCATTTGTGCTCCCTCAATTTTATCATTTTTAACCTTATTTATGCAATGCATTTGACACAAAATAAATAAAGGGGGCACTGTTTGTAGGTCGAAACAGCATCTTTATGTCAAAGCACCACTCTAGGCTGAATGACAATTTCTAAGTTAAAGCATACTTATGTTGCAACATTTTTATGTAGAGGTTCTACTGTACTTTTGATGCAGTCCAACATCCCATTCACTTTTTTAGCTGCTGCATCACAGCTCCACTAGATGGAACTATTGGTACAACCACTACCCTTAACTTCTGGCCCTAAGTTAGCATTCAGACATAATTCAGAACTGGGTTGAGTGAAGACTGTTTTGCAAAAAAAAGGCACACTCTTTTTATTCTGGACAATTTCACTGTCACCAATTCTCATTGGCAGCATTTTATCTTTTTTGGATAAAGATTTTCTCTCTTAATTTTGGAAAGACTTAGATAAATGGAAGAGATGACAAACACTTGTTTGTTGTCATGTGCCATCAAGTCAATTCATATTTGTGTTGGCTTTATCGGAGTGTTTTCTTGGCAAGATTTATTCAGAAGAGGTTTGCCATTGTCACTTTCACAAATTAAAACCTAGTCTCCTAGAGTCCTAGTCCAACATTTAAACCACTTACACCACAACAGCTCTCTGCTAGACATTTAGATATCTCAAATTGCTGCTAAAACAACTATTGCTACTTGACTTTGTTAATTACTGTTATCTGTATATGCACGAAACACTGAGTGGCCTTGTAAAATGCCTCTGGCAGACTGTGATATGCCAATACCTTATTTTGAGCAAACATTGAAACCAGTATTATGTGGACTGAACTGTCCGCTTTGAAGTCATACATTGAACAAAGGGATACAGCAATTCAGCCACCTTGAGGTGACACAGAAAATCAGAGAAAGCTTTTGTTTGCTGTTACAAATACTCCAGTTTAGTTCATTGTACACACAATGCAATATTTTTCAGAAACTTTGTCACTATAAAAAACACTATCCACAGAGCTAGAGAAGCATGTGCCAGCCATGTAGGACTAATAAAGGTAAAAACCAACACTTTGTACTTTGCCCAGAAAGTAATTAGCAGACAGTGGAGTGACTTTTGTATAGTTGTAACATGTTTACTCCTGGATGTTCCTGTAACCAATCTGGCTACCATGTTTTGAACCAGATGCAGTTTCTGAACTTGGTACAAAGTAGCCCAATGTAAAGTGTATTGCAGAAGTCTGGCCTTGAGGTTACCAGCATGTGCACTACCATCTTTAGGTCCTCAGATTCTAGGAAGGAGTGCAGCTGGTGTTTCAGCCAAAGCTATAGTAAGCACTCCTGATCATTGCATCAACTTAGGCTGACATTCAGAGAGATGGATACAGGAGCATTCTCAAGCTGTGGACACAGTTTTTCAGTGAGAGTGTAACCCCATCCAAAACTGGTTGACATATCTCCACCCCCAGGTTAGTGTTGCAAGGATTCCCTGGTATTTTCTCTAGGGATAGAAATGCTTTGCAATTTCTATCATAAATTAGGACCTGGATTTCGTTTCAATTTGACTTTTATCATGCAGCCCATTTATTTATTTGGTTTACTTTTACCCCGCCCTTCTCACCCCGAAGGGGACTCAGGGCGGCTTACACAACCAAGGCACAATTCACTCCCACCTACAGCAACAATAAAACAAAATAACGCCAATTAACAATCAGCAGCAATACATTACATCTATACTCACTAAAAACAATAAAACCAATAAAAATTTCATA